GCCCCTGCCCCACCGCCTGCACGCGCTGGTGCGGAGCTGATGCCGGAGCCTGGCACAGCTGTTTGGAGCCTCCCAGCTGCAGCTGGCCCCGGCTCTGGGGAGCTGCTGCCAGCCGGGATCCCAGGCTGCTCCTAGCAGTTAGCTGGGACGCTACAAGCCCTGCTGGGAGCAGCCCAGGGTCCGTCGCTGGCAGCAGCTACCTGAAGCCGGGGCTGGCTGCGGCGTGCCAAGCAAAATGGCCTTACGTGCCACATTCGGCACATGTGCCAGGGGTTGCTGACCCCTGGTGTATAGAATACAGTTTGAGGGCCCTATTTAGCTTACAGAATGGTTATTTTAGATAAAGACATGTTACAAGGCAAGGAAGTTCAGCTTTCAGAACCCAGGTATAGTCTGCAGAGGAATCTGGCTTTGAAAAGGAATAGGGTTTGATGTGGGTTTTTGCAGAGGACCCAAGCTAGTCTTAGTAAGCCATTTTTACTGTAGTACTTCACTTTGAACTACCTCATTTCAGATAAAAGTTTCTTACTTCCAAGGGCTAAAGCTGCAGGTTCTAGAAACACAACAGAATACGCAAGAAAACAGCAACCAGAAGAACAGCACTCTGAATTCCAAGTACTAAGGAATTACCTAATCTCAAGTAACCTTAGGTTTTGTTGGAAACTGCTTAGACCTTATTTCCTAAACTATGGCACAGGTACCACTGGTGACAGGAACAGAACATTAAACTCATATCACGGTTTAAGAAGCTGACGTATTAAATCAAATGTTGGGAACTGCTGGCTTAGAAGAAGAGTATTGAACTTCCTAGCTTCAGAAATGAGGTTTTGATAAACTTTAAGACCTCTACTGATGCTAAATCTTCAGAGTCCTTTACAAATTTTGACCTATGATGCACTTGTAAAATACAGTAGGTGTATGGCAATGCTGGCAGAGGTTACACTTCTGAATCTGCTCCCATAGCAATAAAACTCTTGTTGACTGCAGACTTGATAGGAGCAGGATTGGACTCAAAATTACTCTTCAAGGCTGCAGAGCAATGCAAACTATTGCTCAGATGGAGTCACTGCTCTAATAATTTACAGTCATCCATCAAGCCAAAGGAACATCTAATTTAGGGAACAGAGTAACTGTCTGACAAAAGTCAAAACAAAACAAAAAAATCTCTATACCATGCTCAATCTTGTTAGCACTGTGTCAAAAGCAAGTGGGCCAAACAGCTCTTGGGCAGGTGCCTAACACACTAATTTAGCAAGGGAAATCTCATTTAATCCTGCATAACCCACTGCCAAACAGTGTAAAGCAGAAGTACTGACCCAGGTCCTGTTTTACACTGTCATTTGCAGGATACTCCATGTGAGATGCAAGAACATTCTGTTTCCCACCTGAGGCCACAGCTTCAATATCTGAGTCACCCAATTCCACTTAATACCTAAATGAAAAAGCATTGGTCACTCACATGGAATAGGTGAAATCAAAGCACCTATCTTACAGAGCACCATCTAGGTTGATACTGCCAAAAGATGTTGGACTAGGCAGCTGTGGAGTCTTTTGCTGAGCAATTTTTGTATAAACACTCTTTCCCCAAGTGTGGCCACTTCCAGGTAGGGGAAGGAAGTCCTGTTTCCCTATTCTCTCTAACTCCAGGTCTTCTATTGAGATGGCAAACCAACTGGTACCAGTCCTGGAAAGAGACTGGAATATAAAACTCCAAACCTCTGGGATTTGGACTAGTAGTATCAGCTATTTCTGTTTGAGGTAGACAGCCTTCTACTGCAGCGAGTCACTGCTGACACTGGACCAAAGTTATACCCTGAAGGTTTCATACCCCAATCCCTACTCCTGCATTGCCCCAAATTATTCAGCCCATCAGTACTGCCATTTTCAAATGCAGTTTATTTACACTCACAGGCCACCAAAAAAAAATAAAAATAAAAAAATTATATATATGTTTCATAGTTTCTAGGGTCGGAAGGGACCTGAGCAGATCATCTAGTCTGACCCCCTGCCATGGCAGGAAGAGCACTGGGGTTAAACGACCCCAGTAAGGTGGTCATCCAACCTCCTCTTAAAAACCCCCAGGGTGGGAGCCTGCACCACCTCACTTGGAAGCTGGTTCCAGACCCTAGCCGCCCTGACCGTGAAGTAGCGCCTCCTGATGTCCATCTTAAACCTTCCCTCCGCCAGCTTGTGACCGTTGTTCCTGGTCACTCCTTGTGGCGCTCGGGGGAACAGGGACTCCCCCAGCACCTGCTGATCCCCCCTAACCAGTTTATAACAGGCCACAAGATCCCCCCTCAGCCTTCTCTTTTGAAGGCTGAACAGGTTTATATATCTCACTGATAAAAAAGTTCCTTACAAACTAATACTTTGCAGAGCACAGCTTGAATAGTTCAATGAAATATCACTAATTCCCCCCCCAATTCATTTAATGTTTGTGCATATATACTGCCCATCACTCAAAGTGCCCACAATCCCAACTCTTCCAAAAGAGCCAATCAAATGCCATCCTCCTCCTGTTTCCTAGGTAACCAGAACCACCAAAGGAAAAAAACCCACAGAATGCTGGAAAGAAAAGACTGCTGCAGCCATTTCCACCCCCACCACTCCAACACCTTTAAATTATTAAGTGTTACAGCAGTACAATGGTGAAAGAGCGGGGCATAAACAATTAACACCGTAATGACAGTCTAACTATTGCCCCTCATCTTCATTGTAGCAGCAGACAAGAAGCCATGTGCTGCTACACAGACACCGGAAGAGTGTCCCAGCTCTGAAGACCCTGCAGTGTAATAAGAACAGGTGGCTGGGGAGAGACGGAGGGGCAATGAACAGAGTAGGAAAGGGAAGCACATATACAATAAAAAGTCACACTGCTCTTCAGTTATGTTCAGTGCTATGGAACATGTCAACACAAAATCCCCAATGTTTTTGTTCAGTCTTTCCTCCCCCACCATGAACACCTGCCCAGATGCAGCCACCTACTGTTTTACTACAGGTTTAAGAAAAACTATGGTTTTCTTCAATTTTAAATGCATCAAGTTCTCTCCACCCTTCATGCCCTTATTTTTCTGTGCTGCGGCTTCCCTTCCTGTCTCAATACACACTTAACCCCAAGCAGGCAATCACTTTATGGGAAAAAGGCTCACTGCTTAATCCCTCACACCCCATCCCAGTAAGTGTTATAGAGAAGGTTAAAACATCCAGTCATCACCTACTTAAATGCTGCATACACAGCAATCTGGTCACTGAAGACTAATCCTGTGGTTTAATAATTAAAGTATAAGCAAAGGGATCAATCTGGCTGTCTTGGTTTTAAATAGGTATGCTCACTTCTTAAATAGGTGTGCGGTCAAGTCTCTGCAATAAAGGATCACTTCCACAACAAGCTGAGACACCAATGAAGATGTCCACTGGGGAATACACAGCAAAGTCAGCTTTTAGACTCAGGCTAGTTCCAGCCCAATGGCTTGAGTACAAACTAAGCAAAACAGATTTTGCAAATTGTCCAAAAAATTTGACAGCTCCTTAATAGGATTATTTCCAATACTATTTACATGGAATTCACTTCCATATGATGGACACTTTCAAGTGATGCAGCCATAAGAGGGCAGAATTTTCTAAGTCTATGTTTGCGTGCTCTGTGTTTTAATAAAAATCACACATGTGGGACCATATATTCTGGTCATAAAGCTGCATGCAAGCAGTAGAATAAAAATTGTGTGGCCAGGAGGGAACCACAAGTTGCAACTTGCATCTCATCCCTGCCAGCCATATCCAAGGATGGTGTTTCAGGACACAGCATGGGTTTGTTAGTGAATAACTCCATCCAATCTATATTGGATATATATATCCAGTATATATGCTCTGCATACCCTTTGGAGACACCCTCCCCCCTGCCCCACCCCAATCTCTCTCTCTCAAAATTTACCATAAGCTTTTTTACTGTCAACACAACATAGAGGGACAGGGTCTCCATTTCAGGGCTTATCCAAAAGATACTAAAGATCCAAAAGATCATTAGGTTGCTTAGTATGCCAACATCTCAGAAAGATCAGGAAGTTTAAAGTTAAAGGGAACCTAATGATCCCAAATCTAAAACTTGGATCGATAACTTGCTGATTTATCTTAAAAATCATTTAGATTAAGGGTGGACAACCTTTGTGGCATAGGCAGCCTCTGTGTGGCATGTAGGGCAGGGAGCAGAAAGGAGCGCCACAGCTTCATCAGGAAGCACAAGACAGAGAAAAAAGGGTGAGCAGCAAATCAGGTAAGGTGAGCAGCAAATTAGGTAAGGGAAAGGGATCAGGGTGCAGGGATAGTGCAGGGATAATTTGTGGCTCACCCATGGGGAAGGTTGGCACCCAGTGATTTAGAGTCTCATTCAATGATATCACAAGGTACTTTGCAAGAATATCTACATATCCATTATTAGCTTTATGCAAACAAAAACAAAGAGGTTATAGCCAAATGCTTTTTTTTCTTACTTTACTACATGGACACCCCGAGTAGAAATCAGAGATATTTTTGTTATTTTGATCACAGTAAACAGGTCAAGAAAAAGTTTTACAGATTGCCAATTCATAAAGTGTCATCTTCTGATTGTCAGTAAAGCATAAGTAATTTGTCTGTTGCAATTCTTAACTAAGGAGTTTTTTTGGCCATTTAGTTTTTGGTCATTACATAGTAGTTGATTAGCA